GTGCGCGTTAGACGTGTGGACGCGGAAAGATTCGTGGCAGGCGCAGGGAATTGTGAGGTTGTGAGTTGGGGTAGGGGAATGTCGCTGTCACAGTGGGATTGGCGTGTGAACGGGTGTTGTTTGGAGGGGCTGGACTTGCGAAACTGCTTGGCAGGGCTGCGTGATGTGTGTGCTCCGATGTGTGTTTCCGCTTGACTTTTGGAGGAAGTCTCGTACGACATGCTCGTTTTACAAACTTGACACGTGCCTTTTGGAGGAAGTCTCGTACGAAACGCTCGTTTTGGAGACTTGACATGTGACTTTTGGAGGAAGTCTCGTACGAAACGCTCTTTTGGAGACTTGACGTGTGACTTTTGGAGGAATTCTCGTACGAAGAGTGCCCTACAAGAGTGTCCCACAAGAGTGTCCTACAAGAGTGTCCCACAAGAGTGTCCTACAAGAGTATCCCACAAGAGGTTCGCGCAAGAGTGTCCCACAAGAGTGTCCCTTAAGAGTGTCCCGCAAGAGTGTCCTACAAGAGTGTCCCACAAGAGTGTCCTGCAACAGTGTCCCACAAGAGTGTCTCACAAGAGTGTCCCTTAAGAGCGTCCCACAAGAGTGTCCTATAAGAGTGTCCCACAAGAGTGTCCTACAAGAGTTTCCCACAAGAGTTTCCTACAAGAGTGTCCCACAAGAGTGTCCCACAAGAGTGTCCCGCAAGAGTGCCCCACAAGAGTGTCCTACAAGAGTATGCCACAAGAGTTTCCTACAAGAGTGTCCCGCAAGAGTGTCCCACAAGAGTGTCCCACAAGAGTGTCCTACAAGAGTGTCCCGCAAGAGTTGTCCCGTATGAGTGTCCCACAAGAGCTACAAGAGTGTCCCGTAAGAGTGTTTCACAAGAGTGTCTTACAAGAGTGTCCCGTAAGAGTGTCCCACAAGAGTGTCCCACAAAATTGTCCTACAAGAGTGTCCCACAAGAGTGTCCCGTATGAGTGTCCCACAAGAGTGTCCCACAAGAGTGTCCCGCAACAGTGTCCCACAAGAGTGTCCCACAAGAGTGTCCCAGAAGAGTGTCCCACAAGAGTGTCCCACAAGAGTGTCCCGTAAGAGTGTCCCACAAGAGTGTCCTACAAGAGTGTCCCACAAGAGTGTCCTACAAGAGTGTCCCACAAGAGTGTCCCACAAGAGTGTCCCACAAGAGTGTCCTACAGGAGTGTCCCACAAGAGTGTCCTACAAGAGTGTCCCACAAGAGTGTCCTACAAGAGTATCCGACAAGAGTTTCCTACAAGAGTGTCTTGCAAGAGTGTCCCACAAGAGTGTCCCACAAGAGTGTCCTACAAGAGTGTCCCACAAGAGTGTCCCGTATGAGTGTCCCACAAGAGTGTCCCACAAGAGTGTCTCACAAGTGTGTCCCACAAGAGTGTCCTACAAGAGTGTGCTACAAGAGTGTCCTGTAAGAGTGTTGAACAAGAGTGTCCTACAAGAGTGTCCCGTAAGAGTGTCCCGTAACAGTGTCCCACAAGAGTGTCCCACAAAATTGTCCTACAAGAGTGTCCCACAAGAGTGTCCCGTATGAGTGTCCCACAAGAGTGTCCCACAAGAGTGTCCCGCAACAGTGTCCCACAAGAGTGTCCCACAAGAGTGTCCCAGAAGAGTGTCCCACAAGAGTGTCCCACAAGAGTGTCCCACAAGAGTGTCCTACAAGAGTTTCCTACAAGAGTGACCCACAAGAGTGTCCTACAAGAGTGTCCCGTAAGAGTGTCCCACAAGAGTTTCCTACAAGAGTGACCCACGAGAGTGTCCCACAAGAGTGTCCTACAAGAGTGTCATTTGGACATATGTAGCTTTTCGAACGTGTTTGCATTCGGGTTCGTGGGCTCCATCTTGTTTTCTTATTTTGGCTGCGTGTGAGCAGCGCGTGTTACTTAGGCTGTCCTCCTCAGTGTAGAGCAAAGCGACAGCTCTGATAGTGATATGCCAGAGGCCGCGTCGACCGCGGCTGCGTTGGCAAGTCGGACTTGTGCAAGTATATAGAATGCTTTTAATGGATGCTACTGCTTGTTGACTAGCTTCTGACTCTGGTTTGCTTCTGTTTTTTGCTTGATATCAATAGAGAGAGAGAGGGTGGAATTCGATAGCCTTCATACGATCCCCAACTTTCCACAGTTTCCGCAGCTTGGGATCAGCGCAGTCAGGGTGAAGAAGCTTTCGGAGCTGCACTTGGCAGCTCCAGTCGCGGAAAGCGTCGGGTGGCCGACGACCAGCTTTTGAAGCTACAAAGATTAGTCAGCAATGAATACATAGGAAAAAAGAAATTCCTTGAAGAATATTGAAGATTGAAGAATCATACTTCTTGGATTGCAGGAGTAGATCATTGCATTGCAACAGCGATTCTTTTCATGTGGAATTGCAGGACAAGTAATTTTAGTGGCCATGGTTGAGAGCTGTGTTCAAAACACCTTGCCAAGTATGGTGCCCCATCACTCAGGTTGGAGCCAGGAGCGGTTGATTGCCTTGGATGACGGGCCGGTGAGTCCGGTAAAGACGCGTTGCTTGGAATGAAGTCGCTGAAATCAACTCCATGGGAGACACTGAAAGTTGAAGGTGTTCTGCTCCTTCAATTTGATTCAAGATCCCATCGACCGTGGATCATCTCCCACTCAAGCACAATTACCCTAGATTCCAAGGTCAAGAGCGAAATGGTGTGTTGCAAGCCAGATGCCAGGCGGGAGCTTTGAATTGTCAGGCAGAGGCAGAGCCTCAATGAATGGTCAGAATCCCAAAACCAATCTCAGAACGACTCACCTCAAAGCAAGCTCTGGGACTTTAGCCAGTGCTCAAGTTATATACTAAGGGCAAGGCTTGCACATGCAAGGGTGACAGCAGTACACCAAAAGCCCAAAAATCTAAGAAATAGAACGAATGAATGAATCATCCGAAGCGGTTCCTTCTTTGGTGACTCAAACCATACAAATGGGACTAGGTTAGGTTTGAACATGTTTGAACCATTTTGAACCTGGGACAAGGAGGGGTATCTAGAGTAGGTGATTTTGCTTGACTGCTGGAAGGCTCTTTCCGCCAAGCAAACAAGGGAAGCAGGAAGCATGAGTGGCAGGAATAATTCGTTGCAAAATTCAGACAGCTAGCAGCTACACAAGACATCACAAGACTATACAACCACAACCACAAAACCAGTCCACCAGGCGCATCCAGGTTGTGCCATGTTGTGCAGGTGGTCTGAAATTGCTGTAGGAGATCTCGCTTTTTGAGCGAAAAAGAAACATGTTTCACCTCAATGAAGCAAGTGCTGACGCTCTGGCGTCCGAAATTGCTCCTACCTGCGGATACGGTCAAAGCGGGAAGTGGCACCGAAAGTGACAATTCTGTGCTTCTTGTGACTAGTAGTGATGGCCCCCAACCTACTTGCGATGGCCTCCACCTAATAGCGTCCTAATACTGATCAAGTTTTTTTGAGTTCAAAAACGGAATGACATCTTGAGCAAAATGTACGTCTTTGTTTTTTAAAATACTCTCTGTTCTGTTTTTGTAATTCTTTGGCATCAAGCTGAACATCCAAATTTCTGATATAGGATCGCGTACTTTGGGATACACAGTGTATTCCAATGCCGCGAGAATTGTACCATGTCATCCCCACCCCTTCGTTGAGAATGATGGACCATCCCTTCGAACCGGCAACCTGATGACGCTCTCATTCATGAATAGCAAATCCTTTGAAAAGACATGCAAAACCACCGTTGAGGGTTAACATTTGGCAGATTTTTCAGTCGATGACGCTCGACCGCACATGTAGGGGCAAAGAGCGGACTGTGGCTGTTGGGTTTCAGTCCTTTGCCCACTCTCCGCACCGCGAGAAAAACAACAGTTGATCAGCAACTCAAGCGAGTATTTCTTGAGGTCATCCTGCTTGAGAGAACTCTTGCCCGCCAGTCAGAACACTTTATTTACCCGAAGCTTTGCTGCCAGTTGAGCAATGCCACCCCACAACTCGATTGTATCTTCCACCAAAGCTGAAGCCACTCGACACCCTGCGTGCCGTTGCAAGCTTCGAGTCATGACCCACCCCAGTCCCACAGTTTGGCTCAAGAGTTGGATTATTTCAGGGCAGCTTGTGATGTAGCCAGTTTTTCAATTGATGGCCAAGGCACGTTCAGGATTCGAAGCCCATGATCACTCTCTCAGCCCCATGTCACCTCTTCGGAAGGCTCAATGAGCGGGTACTCCGGGACCGATTGCCAGATTCCTTCGGTGCCTTCATCCTTCGCGCCAGGCACTGTTCCCACCGAGAAGAACGGCTTCAGTTATGTCTCTTCTAGATAAATACCTTGTCCTTCACATGCCCTTCACCCAACATTTCGCAGGTCATGGCGAAGGGCTGGAGGATAAGGTGGCCAACAGCATTTCTTGCCTCTTCCAAGCTCGGTAAATGATAGTTAACTTGCGGCTTAGGTGTTTTTTGTTCAATTTGGAGATTGTGCTGTCTGGTTAGGGTTGTGGCAACGGAACATGGACATCTGTCGAACAGCTGGTTACAGTGCCAGCCAGAACCTTGGTTTGGCTGTGTGATTTTCGTTTGCTAATCTCAGCTGCTTCCACTTATATAATACCCACAGCAGAGAGGACTGCACACTCATCAGCTTTTTTTGTTTATATAATCGGTGAATAATGCAGTTGCTGTTGCGCATCTGTGGTTCCAGCTTTGCTTTTGGATCAGGTATGTTAAGTTTCCCAAAAGATCTAGGAACCAAATCATTGGTGCGAGCGCTTCCTTGAAGACGCGTGAGCTATCCTGCGTCCAGTTACTAGAAGACAAAGTAGCCAGGAGCGAACTTCTCCTAGTAGCTTATATACCTCCTTACTCACTTAAGTAGGCGCCTACTTAATTAAGTAAGGGCGGACAAAAATCACAGAAAGACAAGTTTCACCCTCCCACTTATCAGGTCAGGCCATTCACCTTTACCGAAGCTCCACAAACCATTACCGCAGGTGAGGCACGTTGATTTTTTTTGTGCCGCTCTTATCAACTCCTAGATGTTTAGACGCCAGGTGGGCAATATGGAGTCTTGGAGTATCACGGCTCAATCTCGAAGCCTCATCGTCCTGGCGAAGCTGAGTTCTACCTATTGAGGCAGAGTTTTCATCTTTTGCAGAGGTACATTGACGATTGTTTTTCAAAGGCATTGAAAGGGTTGCCACCAGCCGCAGCAAGCTTTTGCATGTTCTTGCGCTGGGTTCCCTTGCAGGGGTGTTTTGACAGAAAATGAAGCTGCTCAGTTGCTCGCAACCTGCAGCCAAGCCTTAAGTGAAGCGATTGGAAGCGGAAAGGGAAGAGATCTGGACGTGGATGGACGACCTCGTGACCTAGATACCTTGAGGATGTTTTCAGTCATTTTTCCTTCATGCTTTGCTTGTACCAAAAAAACATTCATTTTAGATCGGTTTTGAGCATAACAAATGCTAAGGGATCGTTAATATAAATATTGAATAATATAAAGCGTTAATATGTATATGTATATGTGCAAATTGCGGCATGCTCAGTTCCACAATTCGTCGCCATCCGTACAGCACTCAAAGGCCCCCTGCGGTTTTTGAAAAAGGAGCGATCACTTGTGTGCTGACTCCTTCCGCTCGTGTTTTTCACTCGCATGGTAGCGGCATAGCCTGGTTCATCCAGGTTTGAGGACATCGAAGCCCAGAGGCGACGGTGTAGATCCAGGGATGGAATCTTTGCCTAGAAGCAAAGATGGGGTTCCGACCTATGATGGGTCGGCTGAGCATCTAGCGATGTTCAAAGAAGAAGCACTGGCCTACTTGTTCACCCTTGAGACACAGAAACGGTACCTTGGTGGTCCTAGACTTGCCCAAGGGTTGACTGGTGTAGCCAGGACGGTGATCCGAAAGAAGTTGGCTGTAGACCCACCATGGCTGGCTCATCCGAGGGGGGCCTACGACCTGATAGAGCACTTAGAGCAGTCATTGGGACAGCCGACATTGATACAGGCAGCTCAGCATATCCAGAAGTTCTTTTACCAGTTGAAGCGAAAGCGCAATGAAACCATGACTCAGTGGACTAGTCGCCACAGTGAAGCACTGTGGGATGCATCTCGGGCCTTGCAGCGTGTGAACTCTGAACATGGCAGTGGAACCACTGCTGGGGGAAGCTCAAAGCACACGGGCAAGACCTATAGTGATGCCAGTTGGGGCCGACGAAGCCATGGGTCATCGACTGCAGCCCGTCGAGATGATGATTCGAGGACTGGAGATCGTGATGGGGGACCATTCGATGAGAATGGCAGAATGCGTGATGATGGAGAGGCCTCTGAGGCCGCAGATCCATGGGCTCGACAAGAGCTGCACACTCTCAGGACTGGGAGTGGGATTGGAAGCATTCAGAGTGGTCTGGATGGCATGGGAGCTCATGGCACAGCGAGGAATATGAACCTCCCGCTTCATGGCACACTGAGGTGAAGGACTTCATTCCGGAGCACTTGACAGGTTTCCTCTTGCTGCAGAGATCTGGATTGGACGCCAATGAACGAGCAAATGTCTTGGCAGCCATCAGGGGACAGTTTTCTGTCGCAACAGTTGAACGAGCCCTCAAGGAGCAGTGGTCTGATGAAGATCTTCTGAAGAGGGACAAGGCTCACTACAGTGCCAACCTGGCTTGGGAAGAAGAAGACGAACAGCTCCTGCTTGCAGGCGAGGTACCGCCTGATCCCGACTATGAGCCCGAAGCCTATGCGGCCTTCATGGATGAGCAGACAGTGATTGACTCTGCCTTGGAGGCCATCAAAGAAAAGAAAAGAACCTTGCAGGAAGCCAGGTGGCGACAACAGCAGGTCCGCAGTGGCCGGAAATTCTATGCACCACCGGCGAACAAAGGCGGTGGCAAAGGGCACTTCAGACATGGAGATCGAGATCAAGGACCCCAGAAGTGCTTGAAATGTGGGGGACCACATCAAACTGCCAACTGCCAGGTGCAGAGAAAGCCCCAGGCCAACGTGACAGAGGAGGCGGAAGTGGCCTTCCAGGCACAACATGACTCGTTGTCGTGTGAGCAAGCGCAAGTGTCAGCTGAGGTCTGCGAAAATATTCGCTTGGGAAAAGGGATCATTGACTGTGGTGCCACCGCCACACTGGGATCCGTTGCCGCCGTTGAGGCCCTGATGAAGAATCGTTGGCAGAAAAAGGGTTGCGATGGTGTCGAGGTTGATTTGACCACCGCTCCAACTTTTAGATTTGGGAACAACGGCACCCAAGCATGCGCGTCCACCGCCAAAGTGAAGGTGGACTGCGGAGAGAAGGTTGGGGACATGTCAATCCATGTTCATGATTTGCCAAACCAACCGATTTTGGTATCTATCAAGTCTTTGAGGGCGCTTGGGGCGGTAGTAGACTTTGGCCGAAATGAGGTGATATACCGCTCAGTCTGCCCACGAAGTGTGGTTAGGCTGGAACAGGCCGCTAATGGTCACCTCCTGATGCCCCTGAGCGACAATCTTTTGGAAGGAGCCACCCGCCGAAAACAGGCTTTTGGTGCGCTCGGTGACGAATAGGGACTTCGCTCCTCTGGAGAAAATGGACACGATGTCCAGGGGAGCTCGCAGTTCAGTTCGCTCAGGACCTGGCAGATCTTCGTCGCGAGATGATGGAGCCGCACTCCGACAGTTCTTTCGTCAAGGTGAAACCGTCCGATTCCGAGCAGGAGTTGGAGAGGGTGAAGGCCGAGTTGGAGCAGTTGAAATCGGAGAACGCCCAGTTGACTCGTCAGGCGGAGCGCAGCAAGTCCCGCAAGGAGATGTGAGTGATTTGATTGAGCCAGATAGTGATTCTGAGTGGCAATTGTGTCCGGAACAGCAATGTTTTCACACCCACAAGAAGATAGGACAGTCTTGGTTGGAGAATCGCAATCCATATGGTCAGGTTTGGAATGAACTTGTTCACCACAAACGAACCTTGCTCCTTGAGGTGGCATGTGGGCCCCAGAGTGTTCTTTCAGAGGAGGTGATGAAACAACTTGGACCGGACTCAGCTATTCGATGTTCTATCTGGAATGGCTATGACTTGACGACGACCTCAAGGTGTTCACAAACTCAAGAAACTGATCAGGGAAACTCGTCCTGTTCACATCTGGGTGTCATG